AAATAGACCCTGATATAATACTCATTAACAGCCATGGAAAAAAGAGTGGTGAGAAGATCAAGATCTTCAATTACAAAATTGACCAGGTCAACAGAGCTGACCAGGCCAACAGAGCTGACCAGGCCAACAGAGCTGACCAGGTCAACAGAGCTGACCAGGCCAACGATGGAGCGGCAATTGCCATAAAAAGAAATATTCCTCACAAAATTCTAGATAACTTCCAAGAAAACTTCCTGGCAATTGATCTCCAAACCACGAAAGGTATAATCTTCATAGGAACATGCTACCAACCACCAAGACGGCCTTACCTTCCCCTGGCCGACATCATGAAACTTACCAGAAGGAACAGACCTGCCTACTTCCTGGGAGATCTGAACGCCAAGCACAGAACACTGGGACACGGAAGGAACAACAAGGCAGGAGAAGCCATCCATAATATGATAAGGAAAGGAAATCTAACCCACTTGGGCCCAGACTTGCCAACATACGTCAGACAAGGCCACAGTGGTAAACCAGACATAATACTGTCAAACAACCACCACTTCCTAAACACCCGCGTAGATAGGGGCCCTGTGAGCACAAGCGACCACCTGCCAATAATAATGACGCTGTCAACTAACCCCATTCAGAAGCCCTCACCACCAAGACTTCAATACACTAAAACTGACTGGGAAGCGTTCAAAAGCAGTGCACAGGAAATCAGTGTCACAGATTTTAATGGAAAGGAAACATCATGCATAAACGCCGAGATAAATACATGGATTAGCACCATAGAAAAATGCATGACTGATCACATTTCCGTAGCTCACCATATAACGCTCCCACACCCCCCAGCCACCGAGGCGCTCAGGACACTGCAAACCAGATATAACAACCTTCTACAACTCATAACACAGTACACCAAACAATGGGATGACCTAATAAGCAAAATCCAAGTCGACTACAGAAACCCAGGAAAGTTCTGGAAAAAAGTAAAGACCCTGATGGGAAGCTCTTCTGAGGAAACACCCTACATCATAGACGCCTCAGGAAATAAACTCTATGAGGAGAGAGAACAAGAGCAGGAATTCAGGAAGTTCTGGGAAAAAAAATTCAGGATAAACCCGGAAGAAAATTTAAATTTTTGCCCAATTAATGAAAGGGAAATTACAACTCAAGTCGATAACAGAGCTGCAGCACTACTCCCGACGCAAACAATAGACCTTAACAACATACGCGAGGACTGCCACCTTATGAAACACATAACCATTGCAGAGGTCCATAAAACAATTATGGGTTTCAAGAACAAGGCGCCGGGCAACAGCAAAATAAATAAGATGGGCCAATTTCCCTCCTCGAAGTACCAGGTAAAATATTCGAAAAAATTATCAGAGACTTGTGAAGTACATGGAAGAGGAAGGGAAGTATAACACCAGGCAGCATTGGTTAAGAAACCGCAGATGGACCCATACAGCTATACCCCTGATCTACGAGCATATAGCCAACGCAGTGTCGAAAAAAGATCAGTGTAATATAGTGCTTAGAAACGTCTCGAAAGCCTTCGACAAAGTGTGGCACACAGGCCTAAAATATAAGATATCTGAACTAGGGTTTCCTGAGAGATTTACTGCTACTCTCTGCACCTTTATAGACAATAGAACTGCTAGGCTTAATTAATATCGGCAGCTACTTGGGTGACGTAATAGAACTGAAAAGTGGAGTACCACAAGGAAGCTGCCTCTCCCCCACTTTATTCAACATATATACAGCTGACCTACCCCAACATGGAGAATACATCACATACGCTGACGATGTCACCCAATTAATTTGCCAACCGGGACCATCAAAGCCACTACTAGCCGACAAGACCAAGGCAGCAATTGAACTCATAAACAACTTTGAGAAGCAATGGAAAATTAGCACCAACAAACAAAAGTTTCAGATAATACACATTGCGAAAAGAAACCCGGACCCCATCATCCTTGACAACCATCCGATCCAATATGCGGAGGTAGGCAGAATACTGGGACTTATGATAAATAGAACAGGGATACAAATTCATGTAAGGGACCGACTAAACAAAGCCAAAGCAGCCTTAGGAAAACTGAGAAGATTCCGAAGCCTCAGTACTAACATTCAGATCCACCTATATAAGGCTCTAGTTCGGCCGCATCTAGAGTATCCCCCAGTACCACTACACACCATAAAGAAAACTAACATGCAGAAACTGCAAGCAGTACAAAATAAGGCGCTAAGGAGAGCAGCAAAACACCGTCCACCATATGATCAGACAATCCAGGAGCTCCATGAACTCCTGAACATACAGCCACTAAACATCAGACTGCAGCACCAAGCCATCAGGGTGTGGAACACCATCGAAATGTTAGAGGACCCAATGTTAGAAAGATTACTCCAAGATGAGACGCCCCGCTCCCACAGCTGGTGGCCCATGAGCCTCGATTCTCTGGATGAAAACCCCGCCCCACAGTATCCCCATAATATCCAGATGAAATACTGATATATATGTGTATATATGAATAATTCATATATGTGTATATACATATGAACAACTATATATATGTATGTGTGTATGAATAACTCAATAAATAATAATAATAAAAAAAGAGCCTTAAACAGAACAACATGTGTGGAAGCATCGGAGTGTGTATACATGAATGCTACACAGTATTCATCTATGGACATCCATATATGGTGAAACACATGTGAAGAACCTCTCACACACTCACAGCTCCCTGACAAGAGGGAGCCAGCTTAGCTTAGCTGCCAACACCCACACATCGTGTCAGCAAGGCGGACAGCCCGCCTGCTTTCATACCTCTCACTGTATTTCCCACTTCTATACTTCCCTTCACCTATGCCTCTCCTTCCTCTTTACTCTTTCTAAATTAAGTAAAGTTAACAAATAATTTGAAAATAACAGAGTTCCTACGCGTCCAGGAACACTTGAGAAACCTGGGAATGTCTTGGCTTTATGGTCTGGCACCTTGAGTGCAGGTGGTAGGTGTGTGGGTAGTGAAGGACCAAGCACGTAACCTCAAACAGCATCTTCAGTGTCCACATTTTAGCAAGAGAACATGTTCTTTAAGTAAGAGATCCGCTGGGTAATGAATGAGTGACTTCATACTTTCCCGTAGCTCCAGCATGTGCATCTTTTTTTTCACCGTCCACGTGATTCATCAGGTACTCACCTACCACGTCATTCATCAAGTACTCACCTACCACGTGATTCATCAAGTACTCACCTACCACGTGACTCATCAGGTACTCACCTACCACGTGACTCATCAAGTACTCACCTACCACGTGACTCATCAAGTACTCACCTACCACGTGATTCATCAAGTACTCACCTACCACGTGATTCATCAAGTACTCACCTACCACGTGACTCATCAGGTACTCACCTACCACGTGATTCATCAAGTACTCACCTACCACGTGACTCATCAAGTACTCACCTACCACGTGATTCATCAAGTACTCACCTACCACGTGACTCATCAAGTACTCACCTACCACGTGACTCATCAAGTACTCACCTACCACGTGATTCATCAAGTACTCACCTACCACGTGATTCATCAAGTACTCACCTACCACGTGACTCATCAAGTACTCACCTACCACGTGACTCATCAAGTACTCACCTACCACGTGATTCATCAAGTACTCACCTACCACGTGATTCATCAAGTACTCAACCTACCCACGTGATTCATCAAGTACTCACCTACACCACTTGACTCATCAGGTACTCACCTACCACGTGATTCATCAAGTACTCACCTACCACGTGACTCATCAAGTACTCACCTACCACGTGATTCATCAAGTACTCACCTACCACGTGACTCATCAAGTACTCACCTACCACGTGACTCATCAAGTACTCACCTACCACGTGATTCATCAAGTACTCACCTACCACGTGACTCATCAAGTACTCACCTACCACGTGACTCATCAAGTACTCACCTACCACGTGACTCATCAAGTACTCACCTACCACGTGATTCATCAGGTACTCACACTACCACGTGACTCATCAAGTACTCCCCTACCACGTGACTCATCAAGTACTCACCTACCACGTGATTCATCAAGTACTCACCTACCACGTGACTCATCAAGTACTCACCTACCACGTGATTCATCAGGTACTCACCTACCACGTGACTCATCAAGTACTCACCTACCACGTGACTCATCAAGTACTCACCTACCACGTGACTCATCAAGTACTCACCTACCACGTGATTCATCAGGTACTCACCTACCACGTGACTCATCAAGTACTCACCTACCACGTGACTCATCAAGTACTCACCTACCACGTGACTCATCAAGTACTCACCTACCACGTGACTCATCAAGTACTCACCTACCACGTGACTCATCAAGTACTCACCTACCACGTGATTCATCAGGTACTCACCTACCACGTGACTCATCAAGTACTCACCTACCCTTGACTCATCAAGTACTCACCTACCACGTGACTCATCAAGTACTCACCTACCACGTGACTCATCAGTACTCACCTACCACGTGACTCATCAAGTACTCACCTACCACGTGACTCATCAAGTACTCACCTACCACGTGACTCATCAAGTACTCCCCTACCACGTGACTCATCAAGTACTCACCTACCACGTGACTCATCAAGTACTCACCTACCACGTGACTCATCAAGTACTCACCTACCACGTGATTCATCAGGTACTCACCTACCACGTGACTCATCAAGTACTCACCTACCACGTGATTCATCAAGTACTCACCTACCACGTGATTCATCAAGTACTCACCTACCAAGTGATTCATCAAGTACTCACCTACCACGTGACTCATCAAGTACTCACCTACCACGTGATTCATCAAGTACTCACCTACCACGTGACTCATCAGGTACTCACCTACCACGTGACTCATCAGGTACTCACCTACCACGTGACTCATCAGGTACTCACCTACCACGTGATTCATCAAGTACTCACCTACTAGGTGTCCGAGTAACCTGAAACCAAAGAAATAAGAACAATGTAATTATTATAGAAAATGACTTGGTCAATAATAATACTATTAATAAAATCACAATATTATTATTACAATACAGTAATGTATTAGATAAGACTCGATCGAAAAAGGAAGCCCGGTCTGCTATCCTTGCATCTCACGAGAGCTCATATAATAAATAAATAAACAAATAAACAAATAAATAAATAAATAAATAAATAAATAAATAAATAAATAAATAAATAAATAAATAAATAAACAAATGTTTATTCAGGTAAAGTACATCCATACAAGAAGTTTTACAAAAATTGATAGATTTCTAGATAGAGCTAGTACATACAGTGCCTAAAGCCACTATTACGCAAAGCGTAATATATATAATAATATATAATACAATAATATATTGGTTAAACAACCAATTCCTTCTCAACGACTCTTAGCCATACAACGTGCACAAAGTGTCATACAGGAAGTATCATGTAAGTTCTTAGTGTATTTTCTGGTATTCGTCGTCTGCCCAACACAAAGGCTGACCCCCGCCACGAGAAACAAATAATAATACTCGTTACGTAAAGCAGTAGCCAGCGGGGCCGCTCTCACCGGTGGAAACATGCAACGGAAATTCGCAGAAAGTGACGAGTTCATGTTCCATAATGTTCCATAATGCTCCATAATGTTATTATAAAGTGACACCACGAATGTAGCCCCGCTCTCCCCCCCCCCCACTCCCGACAAAACACACTAAAACATTAAAAAGACTATATTAATAATACTAATTGTTCTAGCAAAGAAAGGGTAAACAAAATCAGATTTGATGTAAAAGATGAGAGTAAAAGGAGATGGAATATATTGCCGTTGTACATACATATGTAAATTGAGTGCAGGTAACTGAGGACTGAAGCCAGGGAGTGATGTGGTAGATTGCAGTGAATTGTAGTGTGTATGGAAATCTCCTCCACCCGAGAATTTCCATGTGGTCTCCAGAGTTGGAATGTGAAGTTCGGATAGTTTTTGTATATATGAATATGTGTAAATGTTAAAAAGGGGTGGGTATGTGTTGTGCACAAGTACTCGACTATCAGTGCCTGTAGGATTGAGCTTCGGCTGTTGTAACCCGCCTTTCCAGCCGACGGTTGTCTAGTATAATGACTCCAGATCTAGTCTTCTATCATATACTTTTGAGACTTGCTTTTAAAACCTGCACATTAAGTGAATTCTTTCTCTGAGACTCTTACTCTAAAGGAAAACTGTAACATGTGTATGACTCGTCTGGTTCTGGAGCTTCCATCCACGGCCTCTTGTTTTGCTGGTATTTATTGTCGACATTTCCTCTTTTACAAGTGTCACTCCTCCTGAGACGTCTATCATGTCTCCTCTCTCTTCCCTTTTCTGGCGACTTACCGTTAATCTTTTCAGTTTGTCTTCATGTCCCTTTCCTCACAATTCACAGTGGAGATTAGATTTAAATCTTTGAACCTTTTTAGTTTTTGTTTTATGTGTTTATTGATATGGGTGGGTGGCTGTGTGGTGGGGCGGCTAACTCTAGAACTAGTCTTAGGTATGATATGGGTGGGTGGCTGTGTGGTGGGGCGGCTAACTCTAGAACTAGTCTTAGGTATGATATGGGTGGGTGGCTGTGTGGTGGGGCGGGCTAACTCTAGAACTAGTCTTAGGTATGATATGGGTGGTTGGCTGTGTGGTGGGGGCGGCTAACTCTAGAACTAGTCTTAGGTATGATATGGGTGGTTGGCTGTGTGGTGGGGCGGCTAACTCTAGAACTAGTCTTAGGTATGATATGGGTGGGTGGCTGTGTGGTGGGGCGGCTAACTCTAGAACTAGTCTTAGGTATGATATGGGTGGGTGGCTGTGTGGTGGGGCGGCTAACTCTAGAACTAGTCTTAGGTATGATATGGGTGGGTGGCTGTGTGGTGGGGCGGCTAACTCTAGAACTAGTCTTAGGTATGATATGGGTGGTGGCTGTGTGGTGGGGCGGCTAACTCTAGAACTAGTCTTAGGTATGATATGGGTGGGTGGCTCTGTGGTGGGGCGGCTAACTCTAGAACTAGTCTTAGGTATGATATGGGTGGGTGGCTGTGTGGTGGGGCGGCAACTCTAGAACTAGTCTTAGGTATGATATGGGTGGGTGGCTCTGTGGTGGGGCGGCTAACTCTAGAACTAGTCTTAGGTATGATATGGGTGGGTGGCTGTGTGGTGGGCGGCTAACTCTAGAACTAGTCTTAGGTATGATATGGTTGGGTGGCTGTGTGGTGGGGCGGCTAACTCTAGAACTAGTCTTAGGTATGATATGGTTGGTGGGTGGCTGTGTGGTGGGGCGGCTAACTCTAGAACTAGTCTTAGGTATGATATGGGTGGGTGGCTGTGTGGTGGGGCGGCTAACTCTAGAACTAGTCTTAGGTATGATATGGGTGGGTGGCTGTGTGGTGGGGCGGCTAACTCTAGAACTAGTCTTAGGTACACGGTGTACAGTAATGTGTATGACTTCTTATTTACGGTCGTGAATAATGTTTTGACTTTTACCAGTGTATAATCTGCTGCTGATGTAACTCAACTGATGTGTGCCTTCCGAGTTAGGCGTTGTATTATATCAACAACCAGCCCTTTTCTCTTGAGGTTACCGGGAGGTTATCTTGAGGTTATCTTGAGGTTATCTTGAGGTTATCTTGAGGTTATCTTGAGGTTATCTTGAGGTTATCTTGAGGTTATCTTGAGATGATTTCGGGGCTTTTAGTGTCCCCGAGGTAGTTGCCCTTCATTGTGTATATTACTTGAAGTCTCCTGGCACCTGCTCCCATTTCCATCACATTACACTTCCTGGTGTTGAAATCCAGTAGTCATTTCTCGGGCCAGCTCTTCTTCAAGTCTATGTAATATTGGAGTATCTTAACATTTTGTCGTCTCAACTCTTCTTATTAACTTTGCATCGTCCACAAACATCGACACACAGGATCCAACTCCTGTACTTAGGTCCTTAACATAAATGAAAAATAGTTTGGCACCGAGAACCGATCTTTTGGGTACTCCAACCCGAGGAGGATTGACTGGGTACCAATCCTTAACTGTTAGTCATTGTTCACCCAGTAGTAATTGAAGACCTGGTTGTAATCCAGTTACCGGGACTTGTTCCAGGAAAAAACTAGTAGGGAAAGAATTTACATGATCTATAGGAAGGGAAAGCTCTACTTTCTTGAGCTATAGGAAGGGAAAGCTCTACTCTCTTGAGCTATAGGAAGGGAAAACTCTACTTTCTTGAGCTATAGGAAGGGAAAGCTCTACTTTCTTGAGCTATAGGAAGGGAAAGCTCTACTTTCTTGAGCTATAGGAAGGGAAAGCTCTACTTTCTTGAGCTATAGGAAGGGAAAGCTTTATATAGGTGGGGGACTTCTGTCCCCCACCTATATAAGAGAGAGAGAGAGAGAGAGAGAGAGAGAGAGAGAGAGAGAGAGAGAGAGAGAGAGAGAGAGAGAGAGAGAGAGAGAGAGAGAGAGAGAGAGGAGAGAGAGAGAGAGAGGAGAGAGAGAGACCATTTGATCACCATTGGTCCGGGAGACATCTCCCGTCACGCAGGGTGCAGTCGCACCTCCACAGATCTCCAGTATCATCTCTTGATACTGGTAATGGCTGAAAAGGGCCACCACTTACGGGCTATTCATGCCCGTGCCACCTCTTGGGTGGCTTAATCTTTATCAACCATCAATCAGAGAGAGAGAGAGATAGAGAGAGAGAGAGAGAGAGAGAGAGAGAGAGAGAGAGAGAGAGAGAGAGAGAGAGAGAGAGAGAGAGAGAGAGAGAGAGAGAGAGAGAGAGAGAGAGAGAGACTTGGTAATATAATTCAAACAAATTTGTAATGGCTGTAAATACAATTTTCAGAGAACAAAAACATATACAAATATTATGGGAGGGCCGCAGACCTCCCGGGTGACAGTGGTCTCCTTCCGACTCTAACCTCTCCTGCGTCTCTTCCTGGCCTCAAGCCTTCATCCTAATACACAAGCAAACTTAAGACTATTGGCAGGGAATTGTCGAGGCCAGAGCCAAATGCACAAACAAATACAACTTGGCGAGTCCTCAAACACGCCCACACGTAAGAAAACATAAACAGATACAAACAATTGTAAGATTCACACAAGGACTGCAAGAGATGGAATATGATGACTGAAGAACTGGACCTAAAGTTGTTAAAATGATGACAGAGAAAGATAACATGAGACTATAATACTTAGGGTGACTGACAAGGGAACATGAGACTATAATACTTAGGGTGACTGACAAGGGAACATGAGACTACAACACTTAGGGTGACTGACAAAGTGGAACAAGAGGAAGTGTTAGCGAGGAACACCAACAGAACACGAAGGCATTGATGCAAGTTTGATGCACTGATGAGTTATATTAAAGTTATGATGAGTCATAATGAAGTAAACGAAATGGATGTTTAAGTGAACAATATTCATTATTTCAAAAGCAGATATCATAGAAAAATAAGTTGGAAAAGCGGAGTCCAAGATCTAAAGCTCGATCTACAAAGATATGCGTATAAATAGGTTAGTTCACACACACACACACACACACACACACACACACACACACACACACACACACACACACACACACACACACACACACACACACACACACACACACACACACACACACACACACACACACACACACACACACAATTACCAGTTGATTGACAGTTGAGAGACGGGACCAAAGAGCCAAAGCTCAACCCCCGCCCCTCCCGGCAAGCACAACTAGGTGAGAACACATATACACACATAAACACACACTGATATTAGATAAACACACTAGTGTCTGGGAGGCCTAGTGGCTAAGTGGACAGCGCTCGGGATTCGTAATCCTAGGGACCCTGGCGATGGCGGAAACAAATGGGCAGAGTTCACCTAGCAGTAAATAGGTACCTGGGAGTTAGAGAACTGTTATGGTTGGTTTCCTGTGTGTGTGTGTGTGTGTGTGTGT